ACTCAGCCCCACGGATGACAGAGTATGGATAGGCAGCAATCCTGCAACTGTGCCTGTGGTGGGTGAGACAACCCCTACACCTCTTTGTCTCCTTTTTGCCTTTCCACCACTCTGCCTTCCTGGATCCACTTGCTTGGCCAGCTGAAGACTGCCCGGTCAGCTCTGCCGGAAGCCTGGGGTCACGGGAGCAGGAGACAGACTGTGGCACCGTGCTGCAAGTATGGGAAGTGTGGACTTAGTTTTGTGGAGACTGCAAGGAGGGAGCAGTCTGGTGAGTATTTGCACAGACACTGCATCCAGTCTGGTAGGCAGAAGAAGAAATGCACCCTCCTTATTTATAGGAAGATGGAGGTTGCTATGCTGGGCCAAACCGATTAAGTCTGGTATCCTGCTTCAGGCAATGATGAACACTGGCTGCTAGAGGAGATGCAAGAAACGCTGTAGTAAAACAAAGATAAAATCACTCAGTGTGGACATTTCTCACTGTCTTCCTGATATCTAGGTCACTAGTTAACTGTGTCAACAACTAGTGACTACCATAAGATGGGAAGGATGAAAGCTTTACGCTGAACTATTTTCCAGTTGATGTCCTACATGATTCCTCTCACCTGGCTGAAAGAAAAATGAAGAAAGAATGATACCCCCCCATTCTGTTTCTTCTGAAATATATGACAAACCCTGTATTGTTCTGAAAGGTGCAGGATCAAACCTGTCATTATCTCACACAGAGTGCAGTAAATATCGTGACTAAGAGTGCATCAAAAATTATCATCTCTAAGTCTTGTTGGCAGGCTTTACATTAACCAAACCAGGTTGTCAGCTGCCTTCTTCAATGACAACGCAACAACTACTCTGTATGATCATTTTCTGTCACTGTATACTACAGGTGAAAAATGCAGGTGAACAATATTTTACCCGCATAGGTATGTAACTGTATTACAAAGAACTGCAAGAACAAGGCATTTATTTTTCATTTTCAGGAATTTGAATGAGGAGATCTCATTACTCAGAATCGGGATGCATCTTGCTTGGTGAATACAGTAACAAATGGGTTCTTCAAATCCCTAATTCACAAGCATTTCAGAGACAGACAGTTCAGCAGCACAAGAAAGGTGTACTATTCCTAGAAATCTCCTGACTCAACTCCTGTCCTGTATCTGTCAGTGATTCAATAGCATGGCAGCTATAATTGAGCACAAACATACTTCTGTTAGCAAACAGGAAGAAGCTGGGCAGAAGCACCAAGATGGCAATGGGCTGTATGGGTGCCAAGGTGGGTGGCCACACCTGGTCAAGTCTGTGAGATCAGTGATATGGGTAAGGTGATCAGGCTTGCAGAAGGAAAACCTGAGTTGCCTGTCATTGTGTGGTGATAAGAAAGGAGGATGCACAAGGAGGTTGATAAGCTTGATGGGCACTTAACAAGGCAAAGCTGATAAGCTTGATGGGCACTTAAGGAGGCAAAAATGAGAGATAACAGTGCTTCATTTCTATTTCTGTAACTAGTGATTCGCTTACCTTTTTCTTTGGACTGAATACTTTGCATAAGAAAGCACTGGCTGCAACACTTAGACATAGCGTGTAGACTTCTGTAGATTTACAGACATTGTGTGGCATGGTTGGAGAGAGGATGGATTATCAGCAGGTAGCCAGCAGCCTGGGGAGAGGTTCTTGAGATTTGTATGCTTCCATGTTCATCTCCTCAACTTCACCCGCTCTGTTGGAGATTTGGAAAAAAACAGGACTGTGCTCTGTTTATGAAAATGATAGTGACATCAAGACAAAAATACGTGATCCGTGTAGTTCCTGAAGCTAGAGATTACTCACAGGATATTGCTAGGGCATCAGATAAAGATTTTAACAAGTGGCTGTAAAAATTTAATCACAAGTCTGTCTTTAGGAACCCAAGGAACTGCTCCTATTTTCAAAAGTGTTGGATCACTGACAACTTCAGCTGCTCTCTTCTTCCTGCTCTTATTTTGTGAATAGAGTAGGGCTCAGTTGTTCAGGATTTGTGCGAGTAGTTCTGCTTGCCTGAATTGGTAGTACGCATAACAAACCGGTAGGATGGGTCAGCTACTTTTCCTGTCTTTTATTTGAAATTCTTTAAAATGATCAAATCTCTGCAGATGCATAAGCCATCAAAATATAAATAAACGGAAATGAAAATTTTCTGTTAAATGCCTCCTGCCTCCCCACTCCAACCTCCTGGTTGGAGGTTCCTTCCTATCAGTCAGCTCCCTGCACCAACCAGTGTGTGGACACGTCTCTCCTGCCTCCCAATGGCTCCTTGGGGAGAGAAGAATCTGCCAAATTATCCTAAAAAGAGTTTATGGCTTCACTGATTAAACTCCTTGGGGTAGTGATGTGTCCAACAGGCTGATGCCTGCAAGTGATGCTTAGTTTCAAACATAGTTCCAAGGGGAAAAAAAGGCTCCTCCTGCCAAATATGAGTGGGTTTCCAAGTTGAAATGTTTGCTGATAACTTGCGTGTGTGAATAGGTCTTGTCAGTAAGCTATCTTCCTCAAACAATCTCTGTTACATTGGTCTTTGGAGGGAGGAGAGGACGTCATGAATGCAGAAGTGCATCTTCATTAGTTAGTTCTTTTTCTTTTTCCCAGCGCATGAATCTAAAATGGCCCTGCTGTCTTGTTGCTGTAACTTAATTGTGTGGATCAGAATTTAATTCACATAATTTTCTGGCCCTAAATGTTTGAAGTTCAGAGTATTCCAGAGAATAATTTTATAACAGCCTCATTTTCCCTCCAGGTTCTTACTCTCTGTGCCATGAATGTTTCTTGATCATCTCTATTTCAGCCACGTAGAGGCATATACCTGAGCTATTCTTTGGGTAGTAAAATGGTTTCTGGCAGTCAGTGCTTGAAGATTTTTGGAATAAGATCATCTGTAGCACAGAAACATCAGGAAGATTGGGAGCCCATCAGGGACCTGATTGCAAGACAGTGTTGGCCTGATTTTTCCATTTTGTAATGTAGGGAGATCCAGCTGTTTGACAACCCCAAATCACACTGAAGCCTTGGGCAATATGCCTGATTTCCCGCTGTGCTCAAGGTGATCAGTGTCCTGGACCAGGCAGTCCAGGATGTGGCTTTTCTCCCTGACTGTGCTTTGTAGGGATGTGGGCTTCAGGGAGCTCCTTCTCTACCGCTGGAAGAATCGACTTTATGTTCAATAAGTTCGAAAGAGGACCTTAGCTTCCAGCCAGATGTGCTGATCTGTGGGGCACGTCTGAGTGTATGTGGCATGACCACTGAGCAGAGGCTGTCATCTATGGGCCTGTGTTTGGAAAAGAGTTGTAGGAGTGCTACCAGCAAGTGGCTGTTGGGGACAGCCGTGTCCATGCAGTGCTCTGGGGCGTACGTCCACTCCCTCTTAAACAACTGAGCAAGCGTCCAGAAAGACAGACAGATGCTGCACTGCGTACATCACTTCTTAAACATTGCCCTGTCTCTAATCCGCAGCTGCTGTGGACTTCCCTTTCAGCATAAAGTCGCTTTGTCTGAATAAGCAACAACAGCATCTAAAGAAGCAATAGATTTTGAAACAACTGGAGCAATCATACTTTGATCTCTGGCAAAGCCCAGGGGCTTGATTATTATCCAGTGGAAGGGGCTGAGATAAATGAGTTTTCAGGAGTAGGGAACTCAAAGAGTTCAGGCTGGAGGTGGATTAGAGTGAAGGGTGAGGGGGTGCACCCTCCTCCCAGGATAACAAGGTCCATCATCAGCGGGCCACAGGGTCCTCTTGGAGCCCGGCACTTTACGGGGCTCACAGGCATTTTCTAGGAGCAGGCAGGAATGTTTCTTTCCATAGACCTCTGCCACCTCCTTGGAAGCTGATCAAACCCGTTTTATTAAAAAACACCATTTGACTTCTAATGTTTTTATACTGATTAAGAACATTGACTTGGCTGGCTGAACAAGGGAACCGATTGTAGCTCAGCTGCTTCATGCTGGAAAAGCTTTGATCGGACTGAGTGGGAGTTTATGTTTAAGTTACTCTATAAAATGAATTTTGGTGATAAGCTTATAAACTGAATTTGAACCCTGCACAGGCTCCAGAGAGAAGGAATAAACAGCTCAATTTATATTCTCTACAGATACACACCAAGATGTCCCTTTAACCTTCGGTTATTTTACCTAGGGGGTCAAACTGTTTTTTAAACTGTTTGAAATTATTTGTCCAGATTAGCTGTCCATGCTGAAGATGGAGAGCTTTCAAGGTGGCTCCCAAGAGCCCTGAAGCCAACTATAATGAATGAGTTGTTTGGTGTTTTACTCGGAGGAAGAAAGCTGAATGAGTTACAGAGCTGCCAAATAGCCCCAGTTCATTCACACAAACTTGAGGATAATGTGCTTCTCTTGATCCCGACATGGTATCGGTGGAATAGCTTATTTCAAGGGCATTTCTGTCTGACGACTTCTCTCGCTCATTGCTTATCAGCCTCTATTGTTATACACAGCAGTGAACTGCAATTAGAAGACACCGGTATCTGACAGGAAACCCTGGGGAGCATGTACGGTTCATCTCCCCTTTCTGCTGAGGCCGGTGACCAAACTTGCAGGGGATCGAGTGGAAGCAAGGTCAGGTGGTCATCCTGTGAAATCCTCCAGTCCAATTCATCTCAGAGTGTATACGCGTAGAAGTCAGTCTGAAGAGTCTGGTAACTGGTCAAGTAATTATTTGTCACCAGTGGCATGTGCAGCGCAGATCCCAACACAGCCATCACAGAGAGTCTGAGGCTGCTGCAAACCCCGGGCATGAAGGAATTGCTCATTGAGGCACTGATGGGGTCTTTGCCTGGGAGAGATTTTCTTTAGATGGTGAGGTTGTGATCTGTCTGAACAGATGTCTAAATATTTTATCAGAGGAGTCATCCAGCTGATATGTAAGTCTCACAGCCGTAGAGAGACTTTTGTTTGTGTTTTCTCAAGGCGGAGGGCTGGAAGTGAGAAACCCGAGGTCTGGCTCTGCATACCTGTGGGCAAGTCACTCCCGTCATCATGCTGCTCCTGCTGTCTCCCCATGTCTGCTCCGAAAGGCAATTGCTGAGACCCGGCAGCACCCTGAGCTTCCGCAGTCATTCTCCCTTCCCTGCTTCAAAACAAATCCACTTCATTTATCATAATAAAGGCAACATTTTTTTAAACCCAGCTTACAGTTCATGCCCTGTGTACGTGCGTCTGCCTCTTCATCCCTCCCCATGACTTCTGACCCTGATGCCCCACTCCAGCTAAGTATGGCAGAAGTGTAGAGGCCTCAGCGATATCAAAGTAACATTAAATTTCAAGAAAATTGGGAGAGCAAATAATTCAAATATCACCTCTGCTGAAAGAGAAGTCTTAGCAGATATCAGAGAATCCCAGTGGGGAAGAGGAAAGAGGGACAGAGAGAAAGACATAAGAAACCAGGCTTCATTTGCTCATTCTGTTGCACACACTCATTTTATTTTATGTTTTCTTTTAATTTTCTCATAACTCCTAGCTATCTAAACCTTATTCAGGATTTGAAGTGTAAGTTAGTGTAACCAGAAATTCCTCCCATTAGCCCTCAGTTGGTCTCAGCACGTTATCCAGAGAGGACTAGAGGTCACTCGGTGTTGACTCTCTACCCCTGACAGGGGTAAAATATAAGCAGCAAGGACACTGAATATGCCCAGGGAACAGGCTGGCTAGGAGCTGGAGCAGGCCCATTCATCAACCAGTTTCACCGTATGCTAAGGGAATGCAATAATATACATCAAAATCAGAGACAAATTGCAAAGACTAATTTGTGAACTGGGGCCCCATTCCTTGGAGTAAAAGTCTTTTGCTTCTAACCTATCCCCACTGGGCTTTGCCTGTGTAGAAATAACTATGGGAAAAGACATCACAAACGTATCAGGTTCTGCAAGCCTTCTGAGGGCATTACTGACTTCTTCACATGCTCCCATTCAGGAATCATAGACTCCCTGAACACTCAGTTTCCACCTGAATAGCTTTACTCTTGGCCTACTCTCTTCATCACACATTATTTTATTGTAGTCTGCCCTGAAATAACAAGGTTTAATTGGCAATCTGGCCCTGATTTACTAATATCTCCTTGTGCATGGAAGGAGACCTCAAATTCTATGCACTCATTCTCAATCAACGTCAGCTTGGTATTAACTCAATGTTATTACATTATTGATTTTATTCATCCCAGGAGCTACATCAATTTATCATGGAATTCACACTTCTTTAACAACCAACACAAATCAAGAACATTTGTTAGATTTGCGATGTAGACTAGAAGGTTTTTGGAATCTGATCCTCATTTTCCTTTACGTTTGTTTAGTTTTCCAGTTAATCTGAATTCCTATCTTGCCCCTTTGAACTTTCAACCACTGTAAATACTTTTGATGAATTTCCATGCTAAAAACTGTATTGCGACATAGTTCTGAAAAAAAAATGAAAACCAACTGCAAAATACCCAGTGCTTTTCTGATGTATTGATATAACTGGTTTGGGGAAATAAATGGTCGGGTGCTTTATGTTACACAGTGGCCACATGTAAACAATAAAATCTGTTTGTAACCTCAGTCATACATTTAGTTCTGCTATACACACCATAACCATTTGCAGTTTTAACTCATGTTTGAAGGTGTGTAGCAAATTAAAAACATAGCAAAGAGTTTGTCCTTTTCCGTTGCATTTTACTGACTGACTTCTTCGCAACAGATGAAGAAATTCTGGGAAAGTTCATTGTCTGCTTCTGCATTTGTTCAGTCTTCTTCTCTGGCTGGACTCTGTGGTGGCTGGGGAGATACTGAAAGGATGATGTCAGAAGAGTGGGAAGTGAAAGCTGAAGGGAATTTTAGTCAGATGCTTTGAACTGCTGATTTTTAAAAAAAAAATTGGTTAATGTCTACATAGCTGGAATGCTGATGTAGCATTTGGGAGAAAGGATGTGGGACACCAGAGCAGTCACAGCACTGGATGGTGTTGACAGAAGCTCATTTTAGAGTGCTAAAGCACCTTTACTATCTTCCTTCACACCGCAGAGAAACCCACCACTGGCTGGAGTGTAAGGTGCAATTGTCAACTTACTATTCTGTATAGTAATTTTATCACTGCTGTCCTGGTTTTGGCTGGGATAAAGTTAATTTTCTTCCTTGTAGCTGGTACAGTGCTGTGTTTTGGATTTATGATGAGAATAATGTTGATAACACACCGATGTTTTAGTTGTTGCTAGGTAGTGCTT